TTTTCGCGCATTCCAAACTCAACTAAATTCCCATGTCAACTGTGACATATTTTTGTTCAGTTTTTTCTTAGTTTTCTTAGCATTATTTTAATTGTTAGTTCTATTGTAAGTAGTTCTTAAACTGCTTTTTCTCATCGGATTGTAACTATTTTGTTTGTTTTTGTGCATTACATGTTTCGAAGGTGGGATAAAATAAATAAAAGAAACTAAATTAGAATATGAAAATTCGTTTTCCAAGTTTTAAAAAATATTCGAATCGTTAAATTGAATGCAAAATTCTAGAAAAGCCTACATGGATTCACTTTCGATTTTCCAATTAGAAAATCGAATTTCTTATTTCTACCCACTTAAGTATCGTCTTTTCAAGAAAGTAGAAATTCCTCAATGAATTCGTATGGGTATTCCTAGAATATCCTTTTTTATTCTCTATAATTTATTTTCTATTTCACAGTATGTTGTAAATTGAATATCTCAACAAACGAACGGTTTTAGAAGCTGGAATTTTTGTGGATTTTACATCTTATTAAAGGAACTGCATATTCGAGAAAATTCCATTCAAAAATCTGTGGTGTCCACTAAGCACGTAATCAACATATAAACCGTCTCTATTCTTCAATAGTTCCAAAGAAAAAATGATAACGTCGATGTGCATTTATGCTTAATCATAATTTGATAATCGCTTGATTGCACACATCTTTTCATTCAACTAATAGGCAAAGGAAAAAAAACAAAAGAAAAGAAACACATGAATAGATAAATAATAGTCACAAGCCATTTTTTTACATACATACTCGCATATACTTGCCTTTGATCGTTTTTCATAATAGTCTTATCGACAAAAACAATCAAATGAGTGATAGACAATCTCTCTTAAACGCATCCAATAAATTCTCTACTGGTGATGATGATGATAATGGGAACAAGAAACAACTTTTCACCAATAGGTATGATCTAATGAATAATTAACTGCAATAAAAATACGATGGATTTATCATTTTTCATAGTTTTTCTGATTGGCGTCGATGTTTCAGTAGAAAAGGCAGCGATAATAAATATACAAAATTAGATGATGATACTGAACATAGTGACAAAGATGAACCAGTTGGTATTTTCCGTTTAGTAAGTGTATTTAGACGAAATACAAACTACTTGATATATTCGATTTCATTGTAGTTTCAGTTTGCAAATCGTACAGATTTTGTCCTGATGTTCATTGCTGCGTGTTTCCTAATGCTGCATACAATTTGCAATCTCATTCACCTACTTCTCTTTGGTCGACTCACAGGATTATTTGCTACTGAATCATTTGGCGATAATTGTGATTATCGACACCAAAATACAATAGGTCCAACTAAGAACAACAATACATATTCTCAAGTCATAGAGCTCAATCGATTCAACAATGATTCGTCATATAAGTAATGCACCAAAAACTATTATTATTTTATACTATGTATTTCTTTTATTTTCCTTTGGAATTTTTTATCTTAGACTCCGCCATAATATCGATGTAATTTTATCATCAACCATAGCAACATCAATGCCTTCATTTCGAGAAAAAGTTATGAACATAGTTCACTGGTTATTCAGTAAGTGAAATAAACGTAATAATTTGATTATTACAAATAATGCAAATTGTTTTTTTTGTGTCAATGTAGTTATTGGTGCTGTTGAATTGTTGGCTAGCTCAATTGAAAATTTCATTTGGACTATTAGTGTGAAACGACAGACATCTCGTATGTCTGTTTCTCTCTTTCGATCAATAGTTCAACGTGTAAGTTGAATACGCTTCCATTTATAACAAAAAATATTTTCCGAAAAGTTAATCCTAGTCTTAGCGTTACTATAAATTAATAACATCTTTTGCGTTTTCTTTTTAAGAAATCCTCACTATTCACAAATTAGCAATTGTAGCAAGTCTGTGAAATAAGTTAAAGTATCTAGATAAAAGTTATATTTATCTAGACATGCCTCTATTTCTAAGACTTTTAAGTCTAAAAGCAAGAATCTACGACAAGAGTACAAATGCATGCTCAACCTCACTACCCTCCACATACCAAATGCTTTCTTACAAGCTGATGCAAATAAAATCATTTTGAAGTTTTATAGAACAATTACGCTCATGTATTTTTTTTACGAGAAACTTTTAACTTCAGTAGATGACGACTCTACAACAAACAAGATAGACATCTCCATTATTGATATAGTTCCACAAATAGTAAAACAAGAAATATTTCTGGAAAACTGAAGTTTAGATAGTGTAATTTTAAAATGATATTAAAGAAATATTGACGAATTGAAAAAGATCTTTCAATCATACTATTTCTTCTCTAAATTACTGTGTATAGAAACGATCTTAGTCTGTCCAGATATGGTCCACTTCAACTTGGGCTAGGTACTTTTATTTACGGAAGTTGAAGTGGGATTGAGTCGCCTTACAAGGAAACCTCTTCAGATATCTCCTTTCGATTTCAATGATTTTTATGCCTATACATAGATAATACATAGTATTCTAGTAAAAACCCTAAAACGATTTCATTTCCTATTAAGATTCTGGAAAGCTATCAAGTCTTTAAAATTTCTATTTGTCAGAGACTCCCATAATTCCTTTGGTTGTCAAAAAAATCATGTTTTTAAATTTTATTTTGAGACTATCATAACTTGAAAAGATCACATACAGCGCCTTGTATAAAGAACTTCAGAGTTTGTATACTTCATATCTCCAAGATATCAATTTTTCGAAATATTCTTGTATCTGTCAATACGCTTTGAACAGCTTCCTTTTTTGAAAAGTTCGTATCTCGGAGATATGTATTCAACAAACTCTGAAACATTTCATATAAGTTACTGTATATGAGACTGTCGAATAAAAATAGTATCAAAACAAAACTTTAAAAGTATGATTTTTCAGAAAACATAGGGTCATGGAGGAATTTCTAATAAAAAGATATATTAAAAATTCAATAGCTCCATCAAGTTTTAATAAGAACTGAAATCTTCTTAGAATTTCTACTAGAATGCTATCTACTATCTATGAGAAAAAAATGATTGGAATTGAAAAGGAACATCTGGAGTCGTTCGCTCGTCAGATTGCTGTTACACTAGAACTTGATATTTGAAATGTGCAATCTTAGTGGAACTGGTTTCGACTTACCTAAGAGTTCGAGTAGAATTTGAGATATAGATTTTTATCAATAGCAACGAAATTTCTGTTGGCTGGGTGACTTCTCAAATGAAAATAAAAAACTCGACAGAGAAAACACAGATTATAGGAGCAAATTTAAAAGAATTCTACTTTTTCTAAAAAAATCAGGCAGAGAATGCCTTTTTTACAGCCAGAGTTGCAGTAAGATTTTTAAAACAAATATAAAGTTGGAATTGGATTGTAGTTAAGAAAATACAGATGAAATCAAGTTTGAGAAATAAGAGTCGAATTAGAGTATCATTCAATCATATGTATCCATCTCTGACTGTTTCTTACTCTCTCTGTTTTTAGAGCATTCCTTATATGGATACCAAACAGACTAGTCAACTCAGTGCTAAACTGTTTGAGTAAGTCCTTATAATATTTTCTATCAAATAATGTCATCTGATTTAATTATTGATAGTAACATTGGCAAGATTGAAAAAGGCATTGGTTTTAATTTCTTAATATTGATGTCAATGTTACTGTGCGAGATTGGATGTTTTATAGTATCTTTCATTATCAGCTGGCAATTGACTTTGATTATGCTATGTTTGATACCTTTGGTCATTGGTAGCTCATTTGTGTTTTCTCAGGTATAAAATGTTGTTCCATCAATTAAATGTCTATGAATTATTATAGCTCACCGCTAAAGAAGCAATGAATGAGTTAATGACATATTCAAAAGCGGGACAAATCGTTCAAGAAGTGTTTAGTTCATTACGAACTGTTCTTTCCCTCAATGGTAGTAAGTTTGAGCAAAAACGGTAAACAAATATACAACAATAGTGTGCCTATACGATATCATACAACATGTTGTTATTTTTATTGCATTTAGATATGACAGAGAATTGTATTCAACTCGTTGGAGTAATATACGCAAAGGTGCAGTTTTTGGAATTTTTAATGGATGGTCATCTCTAATAATCTACCTAATGTATTCGATTGGTTTTATCTTTGGTTCTCTTCTTATGTCATACAAAGATGATCATACATTGAATATTAGTGATATATTTGTCGTGAGTAATTCATATAATTAGTCAATAAGGAAATGAATATATGACTATTATCTTAATGTAGGTCGTTTCTATCTTAGCACAATGTTTGAAGCACTTTAGTTCTATTAGTCCTTTTTTTCAATCATTTTCAGAAGCTCGAGGTGCAGCACCATCAGTGTTTCGACTTATTGACGAGGTAAGTCTGAACAAATTGAGGTCTCATAACAATAGCTGTATTTTGCATTTGTTTACATGATATAGGGAAATGATGCAAGTGTTAATGAAATAGATATATGGAAAGAGGATACAGAAGCTATTTATAATATCAATGGTGATATTGAATTTGACAATATCAACTTTAGTTATCCATCTCGAAGAGATGTACCAGTTCTGGGTAATCTCTCTCTTATTGCTCGTGCTGGTCAAACAACTGCTCTTGTAGGTTCCAGTGGCTGTGGTAAGTATTTTCAAAAAAACAAAAAACCTTAAAGTAATGTTATTTGTGTCTTAATAATTTATTCATAGGAAAAAGTACATGTATATCACTTTTTCTTCGTTACTATGAACCGTCCTCGGGTCGAATAATGATTGATGGTCGACCAATAACAGATTACCATGTCCAACAACTTCGACAAAATATTGGAGTTGTTAGTCAAGAACCTGTATGCTATTTTTTCGTTTTTTCTTTTCTTCCATACACTTTAATTCAATATTGTAATAGATATTGTTTGGTATGAGTATTTATGAAAATATTCGTTTTGGTAAAGTAAATGCAACACAGGCAGAAATTGAACAAGCAGCACGAGAAGCAAATGCACATAATTTCATTATGCAATTACCAGATGTTTGCGCCAAATATTTACATTTATCTACATATATGTATCACTATTTCTTGTTTAGAAATATGAAACACTTGTTGGTGAACGTGGTATACAGTTGAGTGGTGGTGAAAAACAACGTATTGCACTAGCTCGTGCTCTTGTCAAACAACCTACTTTCCTTTTACTGGATGAAGCAACAAGTGCACTTGATAATGTTAGTGAAAAAATTGTTCAAGAAGCACTCGATCGAGCATGCAAAGGTAACAGTTGTTTTTTTTCTGCTTAACGAATTGCTTTAACATTCTGTATAGGTCGTACAACTATCATTATTGCTCATCGTTTGGCTACAATTCAAAATGCTCATCATATATATGTATTAGATAATGGAAGTGTAATTGAGCAAGGTACACATGAAACATTGATGGCAAAAGAAGGAGGCAAATATCAAGCAATGGTTAAACTTCAACAAATGGAAAGAATCAATGATGATCAAGATGATATGATGAGTATCCAAAAAACGACAGAAGAAGATGAAAAGTCGATATGTATGTTAAGAATTCTAATAGTAATAGTCTTCAATTTTCTTCGTCTTTTTTTCATTAACAGTTGAACGTTCTTGTTTACTTAGCGATAATCAAACTGTTGATATGAATAAAGTACAACTACTACTGCAATTATTTATAAAAAACCATTAATGATAATTTCTCTTTTAGCAAAGTTCAAAGCTATTCAGACAAAAATTTATCTTTTTAAGACTCTTGTCAATGAATAGCCCTGAATGGATCACGATCTTGATTGGTTGCATAGCGTGTGTACTTAACGGAGCAGCTCAACCATTATTTGCATTTTTACTCACCAAAATAGTCGAAGTGAGCCGTTTATTCATACAGATTTCGTGCAAAAATATTGATATATGTATCGTTTTTATATCGATTTGTTTATTGTGTAGGCATTTAAATATTGTTCAACGTCTGAACGACGTCGTCATGTATTGATTACCAGTTTTCTTTTTTTGCTTTTGGGTGCTCTTGTATGGATTCTACGTTTCTTTCAAGTAAAAATGCTGCTTCTGAATTTGATCAATGATTTATTTACTCTTTTCTATAGTATACAGCTTTTGCCATAGCAGGATCGAAATTGACGCAGCGTATTCGCTCGAAAGCTTTTGCATGTCTTCTTCGTCAAGAAGTTGCTTATTTCGATCGACCTGAGAATAGTTCTGGTGCGATTTGTGCTCGTCTTTCTTCTGATGCATCAGCCGTTCAAGAGATGGCTAGTACGCGATTAGGAGATATGTGCGAAGCTTTTGCATGGTCGTTTATTGGAATTCTGTTTGGATCTTTCATAAGTTGGCAATTAACATTGATCGTTTTTGGTCCTCTTTTTTGCTTCTTCCTAGTCATTTATGGAGAAGTGCGTTTACGTCTACAGATGGCCCAACAATCTGGTCACATTATTGGACGAGCAAGCATGGTAAGGTCACGTTTTAGCTGAGAATCTTCCTTTCTATAAGGAAAATTATTTAATCATGAGTTGTTTATCAAATTCAATACACTATATTCATTCTGCCTTTTACTTCTGCAGCTTGTTGTCGAAACTATTCACAATATGCGTACAATAAAACAATTGTCAATAGAAAAAGAAGTGTTAAGACAATATTCTGAACTCATTCATGAAGTATTTATGTTAGTCGATCGAGTCTTATACATTTATAAATTTCTTAATCCATCTTATTTTGTCATAGATTGTCTTGGAAACCTTCGATAGTATATTCAATATCATTTGGCATATACTGGATACTAGGTGTATACACTTTGGCATTTGTGTATTGGTGTGCTCTTGTTCTCTTTGAGAAGGACAAACTAGCTGCAAACCGTATCATAATGTAATTGAAACTACAGTTTGACAATTTAGAAACAATGTTTCACTATCTTTTCAATTTATTAGGGCGTGTGCTTTTGCTATTTTTTCGATGCAAACATTAAGACTCATCGGAATGCTGTAACACTCTCAGTCTCAAGTTTATCTTTTTCCTTCTTCTACTTTTTCTATTCTAGATCTAGCAGTATTGCTACATCAGTCTCAGCTATTAAAACGTTTTTTGATTTATTTGATCGAAAACCAGCAATAGACAATACGTCTACTGAAGGACAAGAATTGGTAAGAGAATATTGAAAATAGTTATTTTGTTTCAATCAGCGCATGCTATGGATTTAATATCATTTGCGTAGGTTGACTTTCGTGGAGAAATAAAATTCGATCAAGTCAAATTTATCTATCCAGCTCGGCCAACATCTATTATTCTTAACAAATTTCAATTGAATATTAAGGCAAGTAAGTCAGATAGGGTTCGATTGAATCATTTCTTTTTAAAATTTATATTCACTGATAAGGTCAACGTGTGGCTCTTGTTGGTATGTTTTAATTAAATGTTTATCTTCAATCTTAATTATGTAATATGATCCATATAGGTACATCCGGATGTGGAAAATCAACAATTATTCAACTATTGGAACGATTCTATGATGTTAAAAGTGGTCGAATAGTCAGTACTTCTTCATTGCATATTTCAAGTAATCATATAAAACTTCTCTATTTACTCTAGCTTATTGATGGCATTGATATTCGACAACTAAATCTTCATTGGGTTCGTTCTCAATTCGGTCTTGTCAATCAAGAACCAAATTTGTTTGATTTAACAATTGCTGAAAATATTGCATATGGTTTAGAAAATGTTCCAATGGAAGACATTATCAATGCAGCAAGGAAAGCTAATATTCATCAATTTATTGAACAATTACCTCAGGTAAAACAATAGAAAATTATATCATGTATCTATTACTATTGTATGACACACTTTTTTCAGAGTTATGAAACAAAAGTAGGGATGAAAGGTAGTTTTCTGTCAGGTGGTGAAAAGCAACGTATTGCTATTGCTCGAGTTCTTCTTCGTCGACCTAAAGTATTGCTCTTAGATGAAGCTACAAGTACCATGGATTCACATAATGAACAAGTGAGTTTGTTTTTCTTTGTCTATTTATCAATTACAGTTACATCTTCATTTTTCAATAATAGATTGTACAAAAAGCTCTTGAACAAGCTCAAACAGAAGATTCTAGTCGAACATCACTCATTATTGCTCATCGTCTTTCAACTATTCGTTCATGTGATTTGATTTGTGTACTTGATAGAGGACATATAGTGGAAAGCGGTACTCATACAGAACTGATACAACAACATGGTGTTTATTATAGAATGCTTGCTCAAAACAATTTACAATGATCATCATTGAACTATTTTGAAAATAAAAAGAGACTTTATTGAATATTAACCCTTCGTGGTTGTCCTGATTTTTGTACTTTGTAGTTGTCCTGGGGTCCGCCTGGACACACCTATAGAAAATTACAAAAAAAACGATTTTTTCCTTTCTTCAAGCGTTTCATTTGACTTATATGAAGAGGTGGAGATCTTTCTTTATAAAAACTAATGAGTCAGCTCTCGTCAAAACAATGTAAAGATGTATGATATCGCAAAAAATTACTTTCTCTAATCGTTTTTGTAGCAACGTTGATAATAGCTGGGAAAAGCATAGAATATATCAATCTAGTCTAGATGATAGGATTCTACGCGTACGTTGTTATATATATAATCAATTGTACAATTGAGAAAGCAAGAAACTTTTCTTTTTGAACTATAGCTACTTTTATCTTTCTCTTTATTATTAGAAAAAACAATAAAAACTCAGTTTTTTTAATCAAACTGATGATGTTGTTTGTATATAAATCTTTTTTTCATAAATGCAAAGTATACTCTAATGTTTTTCCATGCATGTTTGACAAGTTACTGTTATGACACTGTTGGAATGAGACAAACAAACATTTTGACCATAGCTGGAACATGTTTGTCGAACTTTTCGTCTTGGTTAAGCTGGACATAGGAAACACCTTTTTTTGGCTTGATGAATTTGGATGTTTTGGCTAACATCTTTGATGCTCTCTGAGCGAACCTGATAACCTAGTGAGAGCAACGCCAGTTTGACTTTAGGCATAAGCCGAACTTCTTGACTACGGCGACGATTTTGTGCATCTGTCAAGCTTTTGCTCAACTGCTTTAAAAATGTACATCGAACATCTGATTTTCGGTTTTCTTCAGTTTTTTGACATAACCAAATAGTCATCGAATTTATAGTAGCTATATCAATCATATTAAAAAAGACAGCCATAGGCCAACGTCGAGTAATTCTTCGTACTGTATAATAATTAATACATTGATCCATAATATCCACGCCACATTTAGTTTGATTGTAATCGTGAATAGCACATGGTAATTGTTTATCATCATCATATGTTTCAGGACAATTATGCAATGAAGATAAAAGTATAACAGGCTTTTTATTTTCTTTTGCCTGATAGGATAAAAGCATGTATGGTCCTGAAAAATAAAACCAAGACGAGAACAATTCTTTTCGACATTTTTTGATTTCATCGAGTACAAATGAATGTCGATACCCAACAACACTAACTAATATCATTTTTCTGTCTAAGAGTGCTTCACATAGTTTGATATCCGTGAAGTAACGATCAACTGTGATACAACGCCCTTGTTTCACAATGTTGGGCAAATGATCTACAAGCTTAAGAACAACATTCAATGAAAGATTTCTTTGAAGTACATTGTCTTTTTTGCCTGTGTACAGATCAACTGATACAATATATCTGCTATCTGCATCACACAAAGCCCAAAATTTTAGTCCATATTTCGCTGATTTTTGCCGCATGTACTGGACAAAAGCGCAGCGACCTCGGAACGGTACTAATTGTTCATCTACTGTTAAATTTTCTCCTGGAACAAAATGTTTTGGGAGCTCTTTTACAAAAAGTTCAAAGATATGTCTGATTGGAGATAAACGATCAGATGGATTTCGATTTTGTCGATCATCAAATCGAAGAAACTGAAGAATGTACTTAAACCGTTGGAGAGACATTGTCGCTCTATATAATGGGCGATTTTGGCTGATATCCCAAAGTTCACTAAGTAACTCATGGTTGCTATGGGTAACACCTAATTGAAGTAATAATCCAATAAATGATTCTAATTCAGTGCGATCTATTGGTCGCCACTCATGATACTTTTTCATTTTGGTCTTAGAAACTTTTTGTCTATTTTTATTTTGATCAAGATATTGTGTTGCATATCGGTTTGTATGGAGAACGATAAGATCAGGAATTTCATCCGTAAAGAAGAGTTTAAAAGCATCGACAATGTTTTGTACTTTAGTAATATAACCTGGTTTTTTTTCATTATATTAGCAGCAGGTGTTCGACTTTGTACAGAACTTGGATCTGAAGACCATGTAAGTTCACCTTTTTGTAATGTTGCAGGTTGAGTATTTACGATAATATTATCACCATCAATATCAGAATCTGATGAATCAGATTGTTCTGATATGTGTTCATCTGTTGATGTGTCATCTGATTCATCAACATTAGTAGGAACTTCGTATTCTGTATCAGAATCAGAATCCGAATAATCATCAACATTATCATCTATTTCATATTGATCTTTCAATAGAATTTCTCGAAATCTTTTCAAATTTGGTTTATTGAATGTGTCCATACTACATAAGTATAGAAAAATATGAAAAGTATTTTATCTGAATTTTCTTACATTCTGATAAACAGTTTAACTTTTAAACAGATCACAAGCAGTAAATGTAGTTTTGATCAAAATAAAATGACATACATTAAACTTAAACTTTTCAAAAAGATATTATGAATCATCAATATAAATAATGAACATATAAGCCAACCAAAGCAAATCATTTTAAAAAAAATTGTGAATCAACAGATGGCAACTTTATCAAGACGAAAAATATGCTGGTAACAGCATAGTTGTCGTAGGGACCATCCGGACCCACAGCTGCATTTTTCATCTGCTAGGCTTATCGTTGATTTCTAATAAGGATGTTGTAGACCAACATAGGACTAGAGATTAAATAAGGGGACTGGCCCGAAACAGAAGCTCTTGATGTAGTATTAAATAAAAAAACTGTAAAATGGGTCCGCGCGAACCCCACGACAACCACGAAGGGTTAACTATCACAATTTCTAGCCGTTATTTATAGGCTCTTATAAAATACTCACCTCGTAGATATCAAGTAGCATCTTTCAGTGATCTTAAAGGTTTCGAAAGCAACTACCTAAGAGCATTGCGCGCATAGTCAGATGATGATGCGGTTCGACTAAATAACACGCAATAACAGCATGCAATTCCTTCCAACTTGGTTGAGTAGGATAGCCAAGGATAGGTGAATAACCAACTTGGTACACACACTGATCTCATATGACCATTGAATGTGATTGAAGGAAACTTGAACGAATGCGGCGGGATCCAATTATGCATTAACAATTTATGTGCAAGTGATGAATTCGTTTTTAAGAGGTTTGTTCCACTATATAAACCGATATCCTAAAATAAACAAAACTACAATAGATCATAATACATAAAGGCCATAGATTTTACCATCTGGTCGTAAACACTATTAGAATCAGTAGTAACGCAAATGTCGGCTGAGTTTGGCTGTAATATTAGATCTGATTGAGTATTGATGACTTCAGTTGCACTAGTGGATGGCTCAGAAGATATCGTAACTTCTCGTACAGAAGCGCGTTCACAGTCATTCATTGTCGTTGCTGTAGAATCCACAATAACATTGATTGTATTGCATGGTGTAACTTCTGAACACTGCCGTTTTTTGGCTTGATCGAAGGCATCGATGATAGAGAACAAGCGTTTCTCGCTCATTTTGTAGTTCAGCGGACGATCTGTTGCAGAACTAATCTAGAATAATTTGATAATTCAGTAAACTTTGTGATGAAATAGTAGATATTGCATCATTGACGCCTATTTTCTATCGTGAACAGATAAAAATGACAGGAAAATACTCAATAGAGTTTAAATACTGAGTGGGTATTCAAAAGCTGAGGGGAGCCCGGGCCACATGGACCCCTTCGGTATGTCCATACTCTCAAGAGTTTATGAAATGCTATAAACAAGGGATCACGACAGATGTCAATCCATGCAAAGGGTTATGACGGGGCGCAAATAAGCGTTCAGAATAATTACTGTCTTACGAAAGTTTCAAAGGCAGTAAAAGAACACCTTTGTTTAACAAGTTGACAATCTTTATGGCACAGTTACTTGACCATTGTTGATGGTCCAAAATCCGTTGTAAACAAATGAAAAACTCGATAGCATCCAGTCATCTATCCATAGCAGTGGAATAAATATCTATAAACAAAAATAGTTCTAGCCTAATAACTTTCATTCTAGGTCTCTTATAGAATTCTGAGTAACTACCATAATAACTTAATGAAAAGAAGAAAAGTACAGAAAACATTCGTATGCAATTTGTCGTATAAGACGCAGAAAATCTACCAGGATAACTTTAATGAAGAAAACGAAAAGGGAAGAACGCTAATTATTCGATTTGTCTCATAATGTGCTGGAAAATGATCAGAATAACGTAAACAAGAAATAGAAAATAAAAGAAAATTGACTTATACGAATAAAAAGTAGTTGGTTATTCTGATTCAAATATAACCTAAATATTTTATTATTAGTGCACTTGCTCAAGATAAAAATAAATATAAAATGTAAAAGTTTTTGGTTCTTGTAGAGTTTATTGACTAGTTTCGGTAAAGTTACTACTTGACTTCATCACAATCTACAGAAACTGCAAAAAACTTAAAAACTTAACATAACATAAGAGATTTCCACAGGACTTAAGGGAGCATTATGAAGTAATACAACGAGAAAAGAAAGATCTTCCAGCAGATCGAAAGAGCCCTATTTGAAATAACGAGAGAAGTTCGATGGTAGATGTAGAGTAGTCCGTTTTTTGGCTTTCCATGGTCATTTCTTTGTCTGTCAATTGCGTTTTTGCCGTTGAAAGGTAACAAATGTCGGAGATACAACGGGTATTAACCCTTTGAGTCCGGGATTGTTTTTAAAAACTAAAAATATTTATAATTTCAAATCAATGTTTATTTTTTTCAAAATATGACCAAATACATAATTCAGAATACTTTCAGAGTATGATAATCTTTAAAACAAGCCGTTACACACAACTCTACATCGCATTCAATACATTCATACGATGTATCTGTTCTCGACTTGTCTCTCCTCATAGTATGAGCACAAACGTAACACTTTCTCCTCCGTGTTGCTTGAGTGACTGTTGATGCAATGCGCGAAAGAAAATGTCTTGCTGTAAGTCGAAGTGGGTTTTCAGAAGATGGTCGACTAATTGAAGTTCGCACCTGACTACAATATTTTCCGATAATCTCTCGAATTAGCCCAAGTTGATACGCAGCCAAATGAAGATTGACATTTTTTTTTTCAGTTTATATAAAACATATGCATTATAAATTGTAAGATACATCAAATGAAAGAAGAATTTTTTGTACTATTTTTCTGACCGACGAATGCACTCTGAAAAGCTTATTTGCATACTATAATTATCAACCAAACCTCTGTTCTTGTTGTATTCTTTAACACAAAGAGGTTTTATTTTCTCTTGTTTCGTTACAAAGTCAACTTTTCCTGTTGGCACCATAATTGGTTCATGCAATGAGGATAACATTGTGACATCACGTTTGTCTTTCCATTGTAATGCAAGTAAATTGGCAGTGTGATAAAAAACTTGCTCGTCAGGTCCCTCTGTTTCTTCAAAGGTCGGTAAACCCTGCTCGATTTTTTTTAACAGCCCCACATGCTCCTGTTTTATATCGATGAAGATATTCAAATAAAGCAGGGCTGGAATAATAATTGTCTACAAATAATGAATGACCTTTATTCAAGAAGCGTTCTAATAAAGTCGTAACTATAGATCCAGTTACGCCAAGGTGTTTTTGATAATTGAATTCTGTTTTAGAACCATAATAAACTATGAAATCAATTATAAAAGCTGTTTTGCAGTCACAGAGTATAAACAGTTTAATTCCAAACTTATGACATTTTGATGGTATATACTGTAGCCTTTTTTTTAATTCATGAATAATTGGTCGGATTTTATATCGAATATCTCCAGATATTTGGTTTTGATTATCACAGAAATGAAGGTTAGTAAGTAAAGCTCTAAATCGATCTCTAGTGAAAATTTCAGCAATGATAGATGTTGCGATGAGATGATCCGTTGATCAATAATCACGAATACGGTTTTTTTTTCAAATGAGACATCAACATAACTGTAACTAAAAATATATATATATTTCGTCAGTTGTTGTATCAATCCATGAATAGGATCGAAAAATAGTTCAAAGAAATCAAGTGGTGCTTCACAAGCAAGATTTATTATGGTTGAAGATAATCCACAACCACTTGAACCAAAACTAAATAGACAAGGTTTGAAACTTCCTCTTCTCCAGTTTCTCGATGTAACAGATATTTTTCCAAACGCATCTATAAATTCCTCTTCCAAATCACTATTACTTTCATCTTCATCATAACTTTCGTCATATGAATAGTCTTCAGACTCAGTGCTAGATTCTGGAAAGAATGTATGACGTCATTGTACCAAACAGAAAGACAAAGAAAAAAAGAACACATGAGTTGGAGATAAGCGACCTTGGTGACCTTTTCTGCGGAAACAATGCACTCCATATTATTCATCAAATGCGATCAGTCGATCAGAATATTTCTTACACTTTCGATTCATGTGCGAACTCATTAAATAAGTTTACTTCTGTTTTTATTTAGAAAACAAATCAATAAAATATTTAAAGACAAGTATTTTATTTAAAAAGAAAAATTTATTTATTTTTATTTAGAATTTAAACCAATAAAATAATTCACAAGAAGTATTTTATTTAGATAGGATTTTTGTTTTAATTTAAGGGAGAACCCTCCCTCCGAAAGTCGATTTTTTTTGAAAAACTCGATTTTTGAAAAAAACACATATTCTAGTAACCCTGAGTGTCCTCTTTCAGAATATGTATAAATTATATAAGAACGGAACATATTTTGCCAAATTTTAGGACGTTTATTAGAAGTCATAGTGGAAAATCGATCGTTGTATTGATTTTCTTTCCTTATTTACCGGTAATTAGTATCGTTCTATCTTCTTTATCAACGCTATAAAACCATCGACATATCGAGTAATCATGTTCTGACTAGTGCAGTTAGAGAAAGAAGCTTCATAATTAGGTTATTTTTCGAAAAGGTGGCGCTACAGTTAACTTGGATTTAGAAATTAGCGTAATTTTTCTCGAAAATACCATCAACTGCAAGAACTTTTTACGTACCTTTCAATGATATATGATATGGCCTAGTTTTCTACACAGGAACATCATCAACTACTTCGCAATGTTGTTATTCGTTTTTCTCAGCTTCACTGGTTTATCGTTTATTGACTATTGCGGAACATTTTCCCAGTCCACTATTTTACGTACGCTGCTGATATTTTTTTATTCAAAAGATGAGACTTTTTTCTAAAAATCATTGGAACAAATTTCCAAAAATATATCTTTGTTGTTCAAATATTTGAAAGAGCTCAAAGTGGTTTTCGCGGTTTTCGGTTTAAAATGATCACTACTATTGAACGAAGACGAATTTCA